AGTAATTGCTATTGAGAAATCAATGGGGATTTGTTAAAGAAGCGAGGATCAGAACAAATTCAGTATACACTCTGGGCTGCAACCACCCTGGAAATAGCTATGGACCAGAGACGGTGTTTGCTTTCTTTGAGAAAAACTATCCATGTTTAGATGGATGACTTTTAGGTATCACCCACTCCCTTACATGGGAGTAGACTCCCGTATGTGTACTTTAGCCCATCTCAGTGAAAAACATTGCCATGCCCAAGGATGCGGGAGGCAAGAGCTCAGGTCGTCATGTAAAAACACCCCCACACCAAGCCTGGATGCAGCAAGTAAACTGGATCAGGCCCTTTGGCTAACCTCTCATCATCCTGAGAGACCCCTGGCACTTAACGGAGAAAGAAAACTGCACATGCTAAATGTACAGCCAGAGGGACGAGGAAAGGTGAGGTTCCCACTCAGCCCGTCTGCTTTGCTTGAACTGTTTCCAGCATTTCTCTTCTAGCCCTGACTCTCATACGGTGCTGTGAAACAGATCCTCAGGGCACCTCAGACGGGGCTTGGCTTCATTCACCTCCTTGCATTGCTCTCCTCACTCTCTTCCTTGCAAAGCCCACAGTCAGGAGAGAGCTGTAGCGAGGTTAAAACCTCCCTGGTCCAGAGGTACCACCAGACTCCATCTCACCTGAGTGGCACCTGCGATATTGGAGACATCCTTGCTCCCAAGAGCTGTGAAGGCAGCTACATTTTTAAGGACCTTTGCATTATACTCCTAATGATGGTTATTAGGTCTTACAAAGATAAATGGCTTTAACGAGCTGGGATAGGAGTGGGTCAAAAGGCAGCTGAACAACAGAGGGAAGGGGACGCTACGCACATCTCCCAGCCAGGCAAACAGTACTCAGGGATAAGGGCTGGTGAGTGCTATGGATGGGGAAGAACAGATGGAGTATAAATAATCTGGCAGCCGGCAAACAACATGGCGACTCATGGGTTATTAAAGCACAGCGTGCACAAGGAGGGCCAGCCAAGCCACCAGTGCATGAAGGGGCTGGGGATTGCTTATGTTGGGATTTGGCTTCCAAGCAAAAACAAAAGCACGTCCGTTTTCAGCTACTGCATCAGCACGTGCCCATCCATTACGGGGGCTGAGGACAGAAAAAACCTTGTTGGACTTAAAGTCCATTCATTCAGCCAGGTCAGGGTTGTCTCTGAGCAGAAAGCAACCCTTGAGTTTCTCTGTCTTACACTTAAACTACTCTAGAACACCAAATAATGGAAGAAAACACCCTAAAAGGCCCAAAGGGTTTATTAACTTTCGGGAGATGCTGTCCTCCCTTAAAAAAAAAAAAAAAAAAAAAAGTCTTGGAGAAATAGTCCATCTTACTCTTATAATTAAAATGCACATTTCACCTGATGGAAAAAATATTTTTTAGAGAGGAGGGAGGGGTCCTGTTTAATATTTGTCTTCATATTTTTGAATGTGCAAATCCTGAGTAGGATTTAGTTGCCCAGAGCTGTCTGGAGTGAACTGAAAGACACCTGGGAATCCACGACATCTGCATGGGACCCACAGATATGGCACAGGAGAGCAGGGGAAGCATAGTGGGATGTCAGAGAAGATTCTCAGGATGCTATCTGCCTCTCTCTAGGAAACTAAATCCCACGATCTGTGTCCAGCATTCATCTTACCCAAGCTACAGGGCTTTAACTCTAAAAAAAATGCATTGATTCATAAACATTAGGGCTAGAAGGTTCTGTGCTTGGAGTTTGGCTTCCTGATGCAAGACTGTCTCTTAGCACCAGAAATGCCATCACTGAAGCAAACCCCTGAAATTGTCACACTTGAAATCAGGCACCAGTTACAGTTTAACCACCCTTATTCACACCCAAAGCCCTGGCCATTTTCTCAGGTGTCCTCTGAAGCCTAAGCCATCATTTATGGCAGGTACCTAGCCAAGCATGGGGGATCCCTACAGCACCCTGAAATCAGAGCAGAAACAGCAAAGGATACATCTCTTGGACTGCGGCCGTTCGGAAGGATTGTGTTCCTGAACTACTCAAACACCCTTAAAAATCTTGTCTGTATTTAGTTTTCTTTAAGGATCAACATGTTTTCTGAAAAGAACGGAATGACAAAATAGCGGGTGTGTTGCAAAAAGCTTTTGTGAAGAAAAAACTTATTCCAGGAGGTGCAGTTTGCAAAACACTATGTTTAGTAGCTATATAATAGCAGCATTTTCTGGCAGTTGAACATCACGTTCCTTCTCAAAGGATCCTAAAGCATTTTACAAACACTTTCAACATATGGCCAAGTGTAAAATAGCATGAGAAAACAAGAAGATCCTGTTTGCAGGCGTCCTCCTGATTTTTGCAACCAGCTCATGTGGTCTGGTGGCTGGTGGCCTCTCCTTGGATGCCAGGAGGGGATCAGGGCTGCGCTTTTGCAAAGGATTTTTGGATCTGCTGCCAAAGACCGCCACATGCAAATTCAGCTCTGCCACACTTCTGAGCATTGCTAATTCAGGCTCAAATCCATGGTTTATGAGGTCTCAGGCAGAACCCAACCCTATTATACCAAAACCAAAGAGCATCACCAGCAACAGCAATGATGGGCTGATAGACCCATTAGTGACTCTGCCCACAGTCATGCACAGCTCAAAGGGCAGCAGTAATTTCAGTCGTAATCCAGCCAAATGCACACATGCTCACCCTAGGGACCGCTCGTGTCTGTGGAGCAACCACACACTTACGCTCTCCTCACTGATGGATTTCTGTAGGGAAATGTGGAAAATGCAGAATATAATTGCTTGGTGTGCAGTTTACCATGTCCGCCAAAGTAAACATTTCCAGCTTTCCAGAAGATCTTTAACAGTTGCCAGCTGTCAAACCCTGTGTTTTATATCTCATCTAACACATGACAGTTACAGTAGCATGGAGCCCCAGGCACCATGTAGAGACATTACTTCTGTGCTGGTTGTGCAAAAACAATTAAAAAATTAAAAATAAAATACAAAAAGACACCTTTGGATCCAACACTTTTTGCTGGGATTTGGGATTCTCCTTGAAGGTCCCACACATAAATATTGGCTTATCTCGTAAGATCAGACAAGTGTACTCTCTTCTAGTCTCCTAAAGCCTTTCCTTAACTTATGTTTAAGTCATTACTAGAGGAAGACACGCTCACAGGCATGGACAAGCCCTCATAATTTTCTCCTTAATTAAGAGGCAGAAGATGGGGTTGATTCCCCCTAAATGGGCAGAATAAAGCGATGCCCACACACAAATCATTTATTCTGCCTCCTGCCTTCCCAGCACCAGAAACAGGGTCTTCGATAACACCAGACACTGAATTCAGCTCCCCTTGTGCTCAGCTTTCACATTACAAATAAAGAAGCCCTATTGACCTAATACTGCCTTTTTGTCACATTTCGCCTCAAAGTAACTCTCCTCTTAGGCCATTCAAGCATTCCAATGTTTTACATTGTCTTTTAAGAGGAACATCTTTGCAAGCTCCAACCGCATGGCACAGCAACTTGGATTTGCTGAATTTAAATTTATGACCTTCATGCAATAATTAAAATAAGTGGGTATAAGTCTGGCATGCTGAGAAGAGGCAGCTACACAGCTGTTAGTTATAAACTTTTCTAAAAAAGAAGGATGTTTTATGAGCCTCATCAGAAACATTCTTCACTCTTTCATATAGACAGGAATAAAATTTACACATTAGGCATTCCCTATTGTGATTTAATCCCTGCCCCACACAATGTATTTTTGATCTTGAAACTGCAAATGCAAACTTTAATAGAGTTGGCGGATTGAAGCGTTGTATGAAATAAATGGCAGAGAATCAAAACTCTCTGCACGCCACTCCCATAACAACACAGGGCTTCTCAAACCCACGTTTGTGCCGAAAGCCAACGCACCAATCTTCCCACTTCTCCCAGCCTAGCAGAGCTTTCACATTGCAAGCAAATGAGCCACCACATGGGCCATTAGCAAAGTATTCCCAAATTAATGTTGCTAATTCAAGTCTTTCTCAGCTGAGTGAGGAGCCTGGACTCCTCATGGGAAGCTGCTGGCACGTCCCTGTAGAAATGGTGAAGGTGGCACCGGGATTTTGTGGCACGCCAGTCAGGATGGGGCATGGTGGGTGCCTCTTCCAACTGTATGGGTGTTTTGGGGTGTACTAGTCTAATTTTGCTTATGGGCAGGGAAGGAACCCAGAGGGTCCTCAGGCTGGATGAGCGAGGAATGGTGGTGAGGAGGGCATCATGGTCCCCCAGGTGCCTAAGCAGGAAGTGACACTGGAGACAGCACCAAAGACAGGGCACGCACCTCCCCGAGCATCCTCTCGCTCCCATGGCCACGCTGCCCATTGCACCGCAGCAAGGACGTAACTGTTAGAAACCAGACGGGCACGGCCAGAAATCAGGATTATCTGGAGCCGTCATGATTAATAGCAGTGCAGATTTGGACGGGAAATTAAAGCTGGTGCCTCAGGGCTGAAGCACATCTCTAACTATTAAAAACCAGGGTGAGGGAAAAGAAAAAAAAGAGATGTGGGAGCAAAATTATCTCCCACTTCCACTATCGGTCCATGAAGGAGGTATCTCTGACTTGTGGCTCGTGATGAGATGAAAATTTTGGTGCAAGGCTCACAGAAAGCTGTCCGTCTTATGTCAACTTTCATATTAATAGCCTTACAATCTCACGGTTGTACATGATGCCTTTGCACAGGTCTAACAGAATAAGACATGCTAAAAATAATGTTGGAGAAATCAGTGCTGATCACCCCTAGTCCCTATAAAACACTGACTGCAAGAAATCAGTTCTCAGAATAGAAAGTCCGCACAAAAGCAAAACCTCATTTTATACAAACATCTCACTTGTGACCTTTCACGGTGATTATTAGAGCAACGGCCTTTCCTGCAAAAGTTTAACATAAGCTGCTAAACACCGCATGATATTTATTCATCGCAGATTCTGTAAGTGAAAGAAAAATGTGTATCTTTTACCTTGAACACTTCCATTGGAAGAGGAAAATTTGCTGCATCATTAAGGGATTTTTCCAGAGCGCATTTCCACTCAGATATAGTCTTCAGAGAATAGATATCTAAAGCGATGACAACAAAAAAAACCAACAAAATCAAGAGGTGACTGTTTGGGGAACAAACATTTTTGAAAGACTTAAGTTCCTATGTCATAAAAATGAGTAGTACAAGTGAAATGAACAGCGTGTATATTCCAAGCTGTACAGCATGGATAAATTCAACACAAAAGCAACTAGCAGGGGCATGTTTGAAGAAGATTGTGTTTTATATCCTGGAGTAAAACTCAGAAAAATACACATCCTTCATTTTTTGTTGTAGAAACGAGAACCGTACTATCTCATTACTTGAAAATAACAAAAACTCTCTTTGATTTTCAATTCTCAAAATTCCTGATGTTTTCCAGTTTGAGGAGCCTCAGGTCTTCAGCCAATGTTAGTTATATTTGAACAAAATCAGAAATACCTTTACCAAGGCTTCTGTTCATTTGAAAGTCTTTTTTTTTTTTTTTTTTTTTTTTCGGGG